AAAAAGAAAAAAAATAGTTACATAAATATATAAATAATATATACTTAGTATGATGGTTGATGGTAATCCTAGATAAAGGTAATTAGACTAAATTGCCCTCATCACTTACCCCACACATTCTTATATGTGCTGCGAAATTGACTGCAAGAGTGGAGTTGTGTAGGTAGTGGAAAAACATAGTCCGATGCATAAAGCTAGTTTTAAAGAGATGAACGTCCTATACGATGAATTTGCTATGTCGTATATCGAATTCGTAAAAGTATGTCAAAATTAGGTTAGACTCCTCTTTAAATCTCCTCTGAGTAACCTAAAATTGTTTTGACTGAATTGTTTAAGCAAAATATCATGTCCTCATCTCAGCCGACCAATCAAATAAAAAGAGCACTTAATTAAAGAATGTACAAAATTTGAATATGGTGTCGGACCTATCTTTGAGGCAAACACCAAAGATACCCAATAATTAGTACTGATAGGGATCTATCAATTAACTTCTGTTTTAGGTAGCTCATTCTCATTAGATCTCTGAATCGTGATTGAACCTCTCGTCCGAGTACTTGAAAAAACGTCGGGAGGATAGTCCCTTGTGTATAATGCAGATATGTTTTGGGTAGTTGGCTCTCTTTGCAAAATTTTACATTTAGATTTCTCTCTATTTTGTAATTTCTCTATTGGAATGCTTAAAGGCTCTACGACCCAATTTTTATTGTTTTAGTTCTTTGTCAAGATTGCAACTTTTTGACTTATTTCTACCTGTGGATGCTGCTAGAGTTTTGGAGATTTAATTTAAATTTCAAGATCTCGTAAGTTATCTCGATTTTACTTAGTTATGTTTCTGGAATATCTTCTTGAGTAATGTTGAAAATTTAATGAGTAGAATAGACTATTATCCTCGAAGGGTAGGAAACATGTGATTTTTGTTATTGCGTAGCGAGAATGGATTGATAGCTCAATTAGTTCATCGCGACTGACGATTGCTTGATGGTATGATCCCGAACCTTTGAGTTTCTTCTTTCCATCTCGAGTTTTGGTGTGAATAGTCCTTTTTTTTATTTTCCTTTTTGTTGTAATTTGGAGATTTACTTACACCGGATTTTGATATTTGCTTTCATTCAAGCTTTCAAATGCGTTCATTAACATAAATCAAACAACTAACTTGTGATTAGAGTGTTTTAGATTTTATTTCTGCTTTAGTGAATCAATTATTCGATTCCGAATAGTTTTCTTTTGAGAGACGACCTGAGTTTGGTCATTACGATAGTACTCGATTAACAACAATTTTATACACAAACAAGTATTATTCTCACCAAAAGACGACAAATCTTCTGTGGCCCAAATGACCAACTTTTGTCAAGAACCAGAAGAGATCTTCAATGAAGCTTGGGAGCACTTTAAAGAATTTCAACTTCAATGCATTCATCATCACTTTTGCCTTGGGGTGTTAAACTAATTCTTCTACGACGGTCTCCATCAAAATGTTCAATATACGGTCGACCGCGCAGCTACATGATATGTTGGGAGTCTTATCGAGGAGAAAATCTATGAGCTATATGTTGGGAGTCTTATCGAGGAGGAAATCTATGAGATGCTAAGTGAGAATTCACAAGGGAAGAGCATAAGGAAGAGGGCTCTCGCGAATGAGGCTACACCGTCCACTCATCCTTCGTCCAAGGATGTCATCCTTGCAAAGTTGGTCTCGTTGGTGGAGAAACTCAAGTACCTTGGCTTAAGAATTCGAAACGAAAATGTGGTGACAGAGAGAACTCCGCCCGAGATTGTTCTCAATTTGTTGAGCTGACGTTCGACCTTAATTTAGAGATGAGCTCCTATGATGTAAATGCGTTGCAAGTGTATTCGTCTTGAGGTCAAAATGAACCTTACTCAAATATCTACAGCCACGGGTGGAGAAATCTCCAAAACCTCTCGTGGAACAACAAAAAGGGAGCGTACGGACAACCACACCAACCACCTCGAGGGGACTATCCACCTCTACCCCATGGAGATTTCCAACCCAGCCCCGAATTTAAAGGATACCAACCACGGCAGGAGTTTAATCCCTCATGGGGATGTTTTACCCCGAGAAACCCACTTTCACTCGAGCCGGTGAAGAAGCCAAAGCATGAATCTTCGAACTCACGCATCGACAACATGAAGAAATACATCCAAAGTCTTGCCACCACCATGTCTACCTTACACGACACCATCGAGGGCGTTCCGTCGATTCAAGCTTCACTAAAATACCTTGAAACTCAAATGGGGAAACGAGATATGTCCATAGGCGAAATTCAAAGGGGCAATAAGAAAGATCGACTTCCTAGCCAACTCGAACAAGCCCAAACGGTTATGATTTTGAGAAGTGGAAAGGTGGTGGACAATCGAGTGAAAATGCCCGAAGAAGTAGTCGAAGAAACTGAGAACGACGAGGTTGAGGAATAGCAGATACTGTGACGGATTCATCAAAATGAAAGGAATTGATGCCCGAGAAAGAGAAAGTGGTGAAGCCAAGTTCTGATAAACATGAGACTTTTACATAAGTGGCTACACCTTGTCGGCCACTGATCCCCTACCCAAGCAGGTTAACACAAAAAAAAAAATAAAAAAAAAATAAAAATTGTTAATTGAAGGACCTATTCGACCTGCTTTTTTGAAGGTAAATGTTAATTTACCTCTTCTCGATGTCATCTGGAATGTCTCGGCTCATGTTCAAATTTTCAGAGTTGGATTCGAAAAAGAGGATGTTCGAGGATAATGAAAAGGTCTTGATATCCGAAGTAGCGTCTACGACAATTCCTCAAAAAGAGTGCGATCCCAAAGGTTTCATTAAGATTACAAAGGGTAAAGAGAAGGAAACAACCGATATGCTCGACTTGAGTGCCGATATGAATCTTATGTCGTACTCTATATTTAAGCAACCTAAGCAAGGTGAATTGAAGCCCAAACGAAGGTGCCTCCAATTGGCCGATCATTCTGTATACTACCAAAGGACGTTATTGAGGATATCTTGATTCGGCTAGGAAATCATATAGTTGATGAGGAAGTACATACCATTTTTCTGCCGATACCAAGTGATTGTCACTTAACCCTTCCCTTGATGAAGAAAAGGATGATCTCAATCCCGAGGAGGGAATAGTAGATCTTGAAATCTCAAAGGAACCCGAGCCTCGGGACATTAATGGTAAGCTTAAGGTTCTTCCTTCACATCTTAAGTACATTTTCTTGAAGAAGGGAAGAAGAAACCCGTAATTATGTACACAAGGCTCTCAAGAGGAGGAAGAGCTTCTAGTGGACGTGCTTAAGGCAAACAAGGAGGCTATCAGGTGGAACCTAAGTGATATTAAGGGCATATGCCCGACCACGTGTATATGCCCTTCCGAGGCCAGAGACGGGTAACATTATTTCCACAAAAAATAAAACATAAGAATGACAATATGCAAACTCCAAGATCAAACAAAGTTTTCTTTGCTTCTAAAACAGATTGAAAAAACAAATAATGCAACGTGGAGAAACCTTACGCTATAAGAGACTAAGATTCCTATCCAGGCACTTACCTTGCTTGTTAGGGATAGACTCGGGTTGCCAAAAAAATCACTTGCAAGTGAACAATACTTCCGATCAAAAGAGGCGCAGCGCATCTGTGTTCAATTTCCATCTTCATTTGTACAAATCTAATACTTCCTGCCCACACCCAATACAGATAACAATGCTATTGCAACTCACAGAGAAATATTAGGAAGTCAGATGAACAGAGTCTCTGGGAAAAATGAGAAAAAGATAAAGTACAGAGTCAAGAAAACTTGAATTGGCTATTACAGGTCACTTGCATTCAGCCATCGGTTGCCCGATTTGGCAACACTTGGCCAATAGTATATACACTAGTGAGATAAGTCGGCTTCAGTAACATATACCACTTAGCTTTCCAAACATTTAATGTACTAAAGGGAAACAATGAAATATTTTCCCAGCATCACTAAGCAAGGCAAACCACCACATATTATATCTAAGTAGGCAACAGTACCATTGCAAATAATTCTAAATCTTTCCAGAAGTAATAATAATAATATAATAATTAAAAAAAAAAACAAATCTTGTATCAGGAAAGCGAGAGCCACTACTAATGATAAGAACCCAATGATTTATACAATGTTCAAGTCTTTAATGTGTACAATGATGATCGTTATATCATCTGTCCGATTCTCATGTTCTAACCACAATTTGTATGATTCATCAGCTATGGCAGAACAAGCTTCCCTGGGATCGGCATACTTATTAACCTGCATAAACAATGAATAGTGAATACAAAGAAAATCAAATATAACTGAGGATATAGAGAATGTCTATCTGATAATAGTCGCACACGTCGGTCTCTAAATATGTATATTTATTTGACGAAGCTAAAGTAAGCAGAGCGGAAATAAATCCCTTATTCTTTTGGTGATAGCTACTAGATACATCCTTTGAATATACAAACTACGCTAAAACCCGATGAGAGCAGTGATAAGATCAAACTTTCCCAGAAAAACATGCTACTATACCACTAAACCATTATACCATAGTGTCATTGCGCTGTATTTCCAATCGACACCAAAAGCAACAAGCACAAAATTCGCACTCATCATGCCAACAAGCATTAAAAACTAAAGCAAATGGAGAAAAAAAAAAAAAACATTTCTCTTTCCACATAAACAACTTTCACCGAAAACCTATCAACAACTATCAATATATCATGAACGCAAAATTTATCCAAGCATAAAAGCAAAAACTTCTCTCCCTAATCATATAAACTTCCCGTGCTGTAGTCAATTAACTTCTTCTGAAGCCATAAATTCACAATGATCAACAAAACAAAACGATTTGCTTCCCATCTACTACCAAAAACATACCATGTCCACAACCGTCTGGCTGGATAGAAACTCGAAAACCCCATCACTAGCGACCACGAAAAACGGATGCTCGGGTGCAAGACTCACAGTCGACACCTCGGGATCCGAAACCACTCCAATCTTCTCTGCCATACTGTCCCCAACACTCCTGGTGAAGGCAGTCCCTGGGTACATCCCATCCTGAACCCACACCCTTGGTGGGTCCCACCCATCACTCTCCTCATCTCCCCAAGACTGAATCCCAGGGTCTTTAATCCCCTCCACCTGGTCAACGCTCAAAACCCTTGCCCCACACAGCTTCACCCTCTCACACTCATCCTTCCTAAACGGGGTCTGATCATAAGACAGGTCCTGGGCAAGAACTCTGTCCCCATCCCTGACCCCAAGCACGGCCCGCGAATCTCCCACATTGGCCACGTACAGTTTGTCCCCAATCACGAGGGCTGTAATTGCGGTCGTCCCACTCATGGAGTCATCAATTTCAATAGTGTGGAGTTGGTCGTTGGTCGCCAGGAAGGCTGAGCTGTACGCTGAGATGGGGTCCTCAGGCAAGGACGGGTCATCGGAGAGTTTTTCGAAAAGCGTGTCCTTGACGAAAGACGAGCACTGGGCCCCGCACAGGCCGTGCCCGTCGAAAACCCCAAAGAAATGGATGTTAGGGTTTCCCTGAACGGCGGTCTTCACGCAGTAGCTGTCCTGATTCTCCTTGTCGGGGGCGTCGGGGTAGTAGCCGCGGTGGCTGAGGGCGGCGTATGACAGTTGGAGATTGTGGGACGGGACGTGCACGGCGTCCAGGGGTATGTTGTCGGAGGGCCCGCGGGCGTTGTTCGGGCCGGGATGGACGCCCGGGTTCTCTTCCTCGTTGAAGTCGTCCGTGGTGGGCGAGCAAGTCCTGCAGCATTTGACCTGAATGCAACCCATTTTGCGCAGCAGAAATTGAGGAGGAAATAACTCACTCTCGCACATCAATTGCTCGGAAAAAGTCCCGAGAGAAATCTAGGCATGAAGATGGCTGCTAAACCCAAGGAGTGAGGTGGGAAGACGGCGTAAACGGCTCCCCACGATAGAACACTAGATGAGATTTGTGCAAGAGAAAACCCAGGAGGAGGTTTATTCTTGAACACACGGAGAAAGAAAAGGGCGGTTGTTTCTTGATTTTCGATTGGAAAAATCTGGTGAAGGGAATAACCCAATCAGCAAGAAATGATGACAGAGGTAAAGGAATTTGGAGTTGACATTGGAAAGACTCGCAAGAAAATAGTGGGGAAAATGATAAGAAATTACCTGTACAAGTTATGGTTGTTTTTAATGATCTGATATCTNTTTTCTGATTGCGCAGCGCCCCTCGACCACCGTTCAGCACCACCGTGAACCAGCAGCGAGTCACCGTGCTCGACCATTGCTCTGCTGTTCGCTTGCTTCGCTAATCGCGAGACGAGCGTCTGCCGTCGAGCCCGAGAAACGCTGCGTAGCACCTCCCGAGCCACCGTGCGTTTGCCGTTCTTTCCCTCCGAGGAGCAGTGAACTCCGGCGGCGACTCAGCAGCAGCGACGATCCTTCTTCGCGAGACGACGCTTGTCGTCGAGCTTGCCACGAGCTCGCCTTCTCTTTCGTTCCGTTTTTCGATTTTTCCCGAGAACGGTACCTAGTTGATCTCGTCTCGTTTAAATCATTTTTATGTTAATTGCTTATCGTGTTTAAATGAACGTGATGTGCTTTTGCGATTCGATGTATGAGATGTGTATATTGTGCGATTGTGTTCGATATAATTTGTGTGTTCGTTATGATTTTATGTATTATCGTATGTTCGGGACCTCTTCGATTTTTTTGAGAATCGAACGAGACCTCGAAAGTCGTGTAAGTCGGTGGATATTGGAACAATGTCGAGTCCTTGGTCTTATGAAAAGGCCTCAGACGAGAAATTCTATGTTGTGAATTAATTGCCAAGTTTGTCGAGCTTGCGAATCGCTGTTTCGGTGTTCAAATTTTTAAAAATAGCTCGCTGCTCGAAACAATTTGAAATTTTGAGGGATGTGTTATCTGTTCATTTCCTGCCACGTGTAAAATTTTCATAATTTTTGGAGACCTGTAGCTATTTTTAATAATTTAATTGTAATCTGGTCAGAATAATGTTAAATGCATAAAAAATTCATGCCTGACTGAAATGAGCTGAAAGTCGAATATGTCATGGCTCTGTGACTTATATATGTTGTGTTAAATTTTTAGAATTTTTGGACTTGATTTGATATGGTTAATATTTTATTTATCTTTTTTTTTTTTCGAAACGATAGAGATGCTATAAAAACTCAACGAGAACAATGTCCGAATACAAAGCGACCAACAGCCGAAACAGCAAATTGAGAGGACACGCTACAAGCGGCCTAGAACCCCAACCAAGGGAAAAGCAAAGAAAGAAACCAACTAACTGCAAGCTAACCTAACTACTGCCAAAGCCTAGCTAAGCCAACTCCCAGAAACAAAAACCAACAGAAACCGAAAGCCCCACAGACTAAGCTAACAAAAACAGAAAAAACACTAACAGACCTAAACTAAGGGACAGAACCCCACAAACTGAAAACAGAAAAACAGAAAAAGAAAACAGCAGCAACAGCAGGGAAAAACCAGCAGCAACAGCAGGGCCAAGAACTAAGCTTTCAAAAGTGAGAACTCTTGCCAGTCTTTGATGGCTGCAGCAAGCATGACCTTCACTGGCAAATTGACATCTTGAAACAGCCACAGGTTTCTTCCTTTCCAGAGCCACCACAACATGTATGTGGTTAGCTGGATTCTCTGCTCATGAACCTCCAAATGATCAATAGCACAAATGTTCCACCACCAAGAAATAAATCTGTGTCAGTACTTTCAGTACCTTCCCAAAACAAAGGACCAATATCCCAAATGGTTTTGGCTTTCACACAGTGAAAAAAGACATGTTCAATAGACTCAGGAGCCTCACCACAGGTTTTGCAGATTATATCAACATCAATGCCCTTCTTCACCAAGTTCACCTTAACAGGAAGAGTGCCTGAGTAACACTTCCAAAGAAAGTGCTTGAGTTTGTTCTGAATTTTGAGGTGCCAACTCCTAGCTCTAGCATTCTTTGTGAACTGCTGGTTAGAGCTACACTCAGGAATATCCAGGCTTTGGATCTTCCTTTGAAGAAGGTAATCATAGGAAGAGGAGACAGAGAAGCCTCCTTTTTTCTCTAAGGACCAAAACATTCTGTCACATTTCTCAGGATTCAAAGTTGAAATCTCCAGTATGGCCTTGCTTTCCTCTGAATTAAACACTTGGGAAACAAGCCAGTCATTCCATCCTCTACCTGTACTACTCATCAAGTCTTTCACCCAGATTAAGTGGCCTCTGGCAAGTTCCATCAGGGATGGTTTCAAATTAGGAAGCTTAGGGATCCAACTGACATCATCAATCCTGGTAGCTGCCCCATTCCTAATTTCAATTCTGAAGCCCTTAGCAAAGAGAGGAAGGGCAGCTAACCAAGTATTCCACAGCCATGAGCTACTTTGAGTTTTAACAGCTTCAAAAATTGAGGTGCAGGGGAAGTACTTGCACTTCAGAATTCTGCTGACAAGGAGATTAGGAAGGGTAGTAATTCTCCAGATTTGCTTGCAGATCAAAGCTTCATTGAAGAGCCTTATGTCCTGGAATCCCAAGCCTCCATCACATTTAGGGATTGTGAGAAGTTTCCAGGACTTCCAGTGAGTGCCTTTCTCTTGGTTATCACCCTTACTCCACCAGAAAGCAGCACAAAGCCTTGCAATTTCCTTTCCAACAGCCACAGGAAGTCTGAAACAAGCCATGGTGAAAATAGGGAGAGCATTGAGTACTGCCTTGATCAGTACTTCTTTACCAGCAGGAGATAACATCTTGTTTTTCCAACTGGTCAATTTGGTTCTGACAGCAGCAATCACAAACTCAAAAGCCTCTTTTTTTGACCGGCCAATACCCAAGGGAAGGCCCAAGTACCTGGTGGACTGCTGGGATTTGATACCATTTAGTGCTGTACAAATACTTCCTTGCAAATGAACAGGAGTGTTCTTGCTGAAGAATATAGAGGATTTCTCTAAGTTGACCTTCTGGCCTGTGAATAATCTGTATTGTTCTAGCAACTGGAGTAAGGTGTGGGCTTGATCAATTCCAGCTCTGCAGAAAAGAAGTGTATCATCTGCAAAAAGTAGATGGGAGAAGGAGGGTCCATCCTGTGACAGTTTTATCCCTTGCAGCACACCCCTCTCAACAGCATTAGATAACAAAGCAGATAGGAGTTCAGAGACAATTAAGAATAGATAGGGGGAGAGTGGATCTCCTTGTCTCAAGCCTCTAGCAGGTTTCACCATTCCACACATCTTGCCATTCACATTAAATGAGAGGGAGGTAGTAGAGATACACACCATTATCAGATTCACAAATTGAGGACTGAACCCCATTTTCAACATAATGCTCTTCAGACTCAGCCATTCCACACAATCAAAAGCTATCATAAGATCAAGCTTTAATGCCATAAAGATATTCTTACCCGTTCTATGCCTATTGAGGAAATGGAAGGCCTCATGTGCTATGATTACATTGTCCAGAATATTTCTGCCCTGAAGAAAAGCAGACTGACTAGAGCTGATACAAGCATCTAAACATCCCTTCAGTCTCAGAGATAAAATTTTTGACAGGATTTTATAAATGACACTGCAAAGGCTTATATGACGAAATTGAGACAAGTACTTAGGATTCTTGCATTTAGGTATCAGAGTTATTAAGGTGTGGTTCCAGTATTGCAAAATAGAGCCAGATTCAAAAAAGCTCTTAATAGCAGCAACAATCTCAGGTTTAGTAATAGCCCAGAAATGCTGAAAGAAAAAAGCACTCATACCGTCTTCTCCCGGAGATTTGTCAGGTGCAAGGCTGAAAAGAGCAGTCTTAATCTCCAGCTCATCAACATCACAAAGCAGAGCAGTATTCATATCTTCAGTGATAGAAGGGTTAATGAGAGGGAGGAGAGTTTCCCCTCCAAGAGTTCCTTCAGATGTGAAAAGAGAGCTGAAATATTCAGAGATATGGGCTTCAATCTCTCTTTGGGTTTGACAGAATGAGTTCTCTCCATCAATCAGTCTGGTAATGGAGTTCATCTTTCTTCTGTGTCTGGTATAGGCATGGAAAAATTTGGTGTTTCCATCTCCTTCCTTCATCCACTGTACTCGGGACCTTTGTTGCCAGAAAAGTTCCTCTTGTTTGTGAACTTGGTCTAACTCAACCCTTACAGATTCCCATTCATCCCAGTGGTCTTCTCTTCCCAAGTTCCTAATGTCTTCCAATCTTTGGGTAAGATCTGAAATGCGGCTGCTGTTTTGATTTTTGAACTGAGAGCTCCATTGCAATAAGGCTAACCGAGTAGCTTTAATTTTTTCTTTAAGAATGAAAAAGGGAGTGCCAGTAGCCTTGCAAGACCATGCTGATTTGATCACCTCCTCTACCCCCTCTTTTTTGAGCCAGCATTTGTTAAAGAGAAACCTTTTTTTGGTTTTGAAAGATTTGAGTCCAGTATCTAGAAGCAATAAGGAGTGGTCAGAAGCACTTCTAACAAGATTGGTCACAGAGGCATTAGGGAAGCTTTCCATCCAATCCACAGAGGCAAAAGCTCGATCTAGTTTTTCTTCCACAAACCCTTCAGCTTCCCTGTTGTTGGCCCAGGTGTATTGATAACCCACCATTTTCAACTCCTCCATTTCCATCCTATAAATAAAGTCATTGAAACCCCTCAGACTGGCAAAACTTCTGATTCTTCCTCCACTTTTATCCTCTCTTAAGCATATGTCATTTCAGTCTCCAATGATTATCCATCTATCTCCCCAGCAACTTTTATCACCTTCATGATCATGCCATTGAGATTCCCTGACTGCTTTATCAGTGCTTAAGTAAACAAAAACAGCCCACAGATTACCAATAGCTTGGAAGCTATATTGCACAGCAATGTAAAAATCCTTGCAGATAGTTTGAGTAACCATCACTTCCTGATTCCAACAGAGTAGCAAGCCTCCACTCTGACCCCTAGGATCAACAATTAGAACTCTATCTTCATAGCCCAATTTTCTACTAACAGACTTCACAAAATGGTTAGGTTTTTTGGTTTCAGACAGAAAAAGGAACATTGGGTGGTGAGTCCTACAAGACTCTTTGATTTGGGAAATTGTAGAGGGCCCACTCAATGTGAGGTACTGAGGTTGGATATAAAATATTTTTGTTTTGATTG